TTTCTCTTCAATATAATTCTCTTATTTTAACCTCTAATATTGACATTTTTCACAATAGTTTGTCTGTATTTCGTTCTATTATTATTAATCATTAAATAGATGAGATTTTTGTATTCTTTCGTCTATATATTTGATATATTTAAATTTTATATATTTTACCAGCCTGTTAGGGGCGATGTTTCGCTGTTGGTCTGATGAAATGAAATGAAATAAATAAATAAATAAACAACTTAGCCTCATTTTTATCGCCGTTCTGACTTATTGTCGTTTTTATCTTGCCGTTTTTACTTCTTGCCGTTTTGGTCCATTGCCGTTCTGGTGAAAGAGTGTTGCCTTTTTTTTTTTGCCGTTTTGGTCATTGCTGTTTTGACTTATTGCCGTATACGGTAGGTTTATTGCTGTTTTGACCAGAAAGCGATTAAACCGTAACCAACACAAACAACAGCGCTAATTTGATATTCTTCACAGGAAGGAGAGCCTCTACAAAAGTTTCATGAAACTGCCATGGATGGACTGGCAGTTTTGAAAATGCGGTTGATCCGTCCACAAAATTCAAGACTATTAAAGTTAAGGAGCCTATCTTCAGGTAATAAAGTGCACTGTGCTAGCCTACTTATATAATTGGTGACACAAAAAACAATTTCCCCTCAAATTTATAATATAAAACATATATTAAAGTTACAATTAAATATAATTTTGTAATATAAAAATTAAAAATATCTCTTTAAATTAAACAAAAACGAAATAAGTACTTTGCTGTGCATTAGTGGATGGATTCAAGGTTGGGGCAGGTATGGGAGCCGGTGGGCCAGGGATGAACACATGCACCTTATATAAGTCACCCTCAAATAAGGGTGGCAGACAGCAAAGGGAAGTCTACCCTCTACATTTTTGTCAGCAAATAACATGTTAACAAACCCTTAACAATATACATCATGACATGAAAATTATACAAATAAAAAGAAATCAATGTTATGCATAACTTTAAAGATGTACTGTCTATCATTAGATAAAAAAAACCACAGAAAAATGCCATAATTAAATGATCTAATTCGAATAATTTGTATAGACCCTTAAGTTATAACTAGTAATCAATTTAAGAATTACAGTAAAATGTCAGTAAATCAGTGAAAACCAATGTTTTTGGTAGACATTACATCTTTAACATCACTTGTAATAGCATTATGAAATGAATAGATTGATGATAAATGCCTGGATGATATTGGAAGATGTTTCTATAAATGAAGTAATGTTGTTGTTTAACCTGTGGATTATTTTGTAAAAATAAACAAAAGACAATGAACAATTATTTTGATTTGCCAGTAACATTAATTTTAGTTAACTAAGATGATTTTTTAAGCAGTTTGGTTGGTATAGGTATCTAGCAAAATTTTAAAAACTACAACTTTATTTTTTATGTATAAAGATCTCTGGTTGGCGGTGATGGTGTAACCCCATACTTCGGTTTGGGTGCTTCCTTGGTGTTTATTGTTTTTTTTTTCTCAGCTTTTTTCTTTGTTTTCTTGACTATATTGTCAAGCGCATAGAGACCTCGTTTATTTGCGCTATATAAATCCATCTATTATTATTAATACTATTAAATTTTTTCAATATCTGATGCGATATGAGGACTCCTTCCAAACACTACACAGGCATACTTACATATGGACGTAACCAAGGAATTATAAAGAACAAATGAAAGTAAATGACGACCAAAAGTGTATTTAATAAAACCGAGTGTGTGCAAGGCCTTCAAGACAATGTACAGGGAATGTTGTGCATTCCACATAATGTCAGAAGAGAAAATATTCATGACTTTGCTAATGACAATCACTTCTCATCAAATAAACACTCTCTTAAAGTTTATTACTCAGAGGATTTAAAAATACGAAAACTCAATTTTGATTATTCATTGATAATGTAAGATTTTGCCAGAGCACCTGAACCATGTCACTATTTTGATAATATTTACATAGTTTCCATATATTCTGAAAAAATAAGTGAAAATCATCAACTTGTATTGCCTTTGTAATATCTATAGCACTTTTCTGTAGCCAACAGTGCCTTCACAAATGTAACTGGGATAACTATAGACAATGTGTAGTTTAGAGTCACAAGTCTCTAATTTATTGATTTTTCGTAGTATTAGCACATTTCGGACAGAGCCACCAGCGTCAGTTTATGTCGAGAAACTTTTTGATGCGAATTAATCCCAGAAAAAGTATACTATGGAATGCCATGCAAATAAGTAATATGGAACACCATTGGTGCCAAATCGATTTATTCTTAACTGATTAAGAAAAAGATTAAGGACTGATTAAGTCTAGGTTTTACCTTGTCTCCATTGATATTATCTTACCATTATCTATCATTTGAAAATATTTCTCATACCTACTTTCAGATGCAAACCCCAATGAGCCACCAAAATTCTTCAGTTTTATTGCCAATATAAAGAAATACTTTAAAAATTTAAAGTGGGTTCCAATCCCATTGAGTGTTGGATTTGGATATATATGCTATCAGCAGTATTCACATATAAGGAAACGTGAACTTAAACAGGCGTATAATGAAGTTGATCCCCAAGAATCATTACTAAAGGATTGGCAAGTAAGTTTCAAGTTTTCTTTCAATTTTTTTTGTGTAAATATCTGTACTGTACTTAATTCAATTTATGTAGGCATTATTATAATACTATGTTGCTTGTAACTAAAAACTAAATAAAAGGTTTGTGAACCAAAGTTTACAATAAAACATTGAACATATATAAGTCTTATACTTTTTAAAATAAATTCTTATGTATTTACAAAATGTTATTTATATTTTCTTGCATCTGATTTATTTTGAAACATGCTCCCTCCTTGTTGCCAACTTGGCATAGACCTTCAATCCCGCCCTTTACTTGAGATTCCTTTTGGCAGATCCAAGCAATTTAAAAGGTCGCCTGTTGATACAATTGCCAAAATTTATAATAATTATAGTTGTAGGTTGGATCGTTGGATTTTAGATGTACTCTAATCATGTTTGCATTGTTATTCTAAATGTTTTTAATGATGAATGATACAATATCAGTGGCGGATTCAGGTATTGAAATGAAGGGGCTAGGGTGGGACTTTCACAGTAGGAGATTCTATGCCACCTCAGCCAATCCATGGATGGGGCTGAGGTAAGAAAATTTATGATTATGGCACCTCTAGATGGCTGCCGGAAATGACACTCACTGAAAAATGTGAATATAATTTTCTTTTTATCTCCATTTAAAAAATATTTTGACAAATTTAGTAGGGTACCGGGTCGGCAGGCCCCCCCCCCCTTTACTCCGCTACTGAATATTTGATTTCAGAGACACATGCTGTTGCATTGGTGAGGCTGATAAGAAAAAGTATTATTATGGCACGTCTAGGGCCGGAAATTATGGAATTGATACAGCTGGGTAGACTGAAGCAATGTAGCTAAAGTGCCTTGCCCAAGGACACAAGCAAATCTGCACAGCGGAGACTCGAAACCCCAACCTTACGATTGAGAGCCCAAACCTGAACCGCTGCGCCAAACTGCCGTGCAAGAAGAGACTAGACTTAAAGATATGGCAAAAATGATTGGGAAGTAGAAAGTTAACAGAAGAATATAAAAAGACATTGTTGTATAAGATTGATATCGTTAAAGTTAAGAAGGTTTAGATTACTGAATAAATGAGAGGAGTCAGACCTCGGTGATGCGCCAGATATAATCCAGATCCCCTTTTTTTTTAAAAGAAATACGAGTTTATGAAAATTGGATGGGTACCGTAAGCATTAGCCTAGACAAAATTACAATAGCCCTGATAAGGTAAAATGAAAGAGCAATAAAGAATCGGTAGTATTTTTAAGGAATAAATAAGGACAGTCTAAAAATGATACCAAGGCTTTTGGAGACTTTGATTCAATCTCATTAATTTGAGTTTTCCATGTAAGGGAGCTATCGAGGAAAACTCCAAGAAATGTATCACTTTCAACAGAAGTTATTTTAAAATTATCTATGAAAATACTAAAAGAGGAGGAGTCAATAAACCTATTCTTTTGGGAGCTTCTAAACAGAATGAAGCTGCATTTTTTGTGAATAATTGAAAGTTATTATTGGTTGAATAAAAAACAGTTTCATCAGCGTAAAGAAAGAAAGAAAGAGAAAATTAGAGGATCGGTAAATGTCATTAATATACAGAATAAGTAAAAGAGGACCTAATGATGAACCCTGGAGAACATAGCAGAGAAATTAGAAACATGATTTGCGTATTTGGTACATTGGAAACGATTTGAAAGATAAGTTTAACGTGGGACCCAGAATGCCATAATGTGAAAACTGAACCTTGTGTTGGCAAGCCTGGAAACAAGGGACAAGAGAACAGTAAAACGAAACAAGAAGCAACATAAACAGAAAAGACATGAGGTTGTAATAGTTCTGTCATATA